GAAGGTCGTAAGTCGAGATTGACAGGCGTCAGGCCTTAAGAATGTCGGTTGTTGAGGTTGAAGATAACACGCCTTCTAAACAATCAACTAGGGTGTTAATGAGTCAAGTCAAGTAGCAGGTTGTTCAAAAACAGCTCGAAAAAATAGCATCAGGTTCAAGCTCGAACTCAACAAATATGAGTTAAAAGATACGCTTTATAATCTCGCTTATAGGAACGACTTGAAAGTGATCAACTCTAACTCATTCATTGGCTTCAACTCGATAGTTTTTATATTCTATTCGTAATATTCCTTAACATAAACATATTTGGCTTACAAAGTGTACATGTTTCACTCATTTTACCAGACTTGACTTGACTTGAAAATTTTAATCAAGCATCGGTGATATGAACATCAAATCGATCCCGGACTTGAACAGTTCGTTAAAAGCTCAAACCGTTACACCTACCGTCAACATTAACCTGGAACCGAACCCTTGATCTTTAAAATTTGAAACACTACATATGAGTTGTTTGTTTACCTCTTAATAGTTCCATTAAGAGGCAACATCTGAATCGTTAAGAGATGAATCTTGTTTGACAGGAAAAAAAATGTCTCTTAATGATTCTAAAACCCTCGAGCCCTAATTTTATTGTACACAATTACCAAACAATTATATTTCATTTTGTACTATATCATGAGAACCTCTTAATCATTCTGTACCAAACCATTTAACAATTGCCAAACAGCCCCTTACACTTGTAAACTCAAAAATTTTAAAATAGAATTTTTTGTTTTAATATTTTATTTTTTAAATAATAATTTAAACTTAACTTTTTTTTATTAACCTAAATATCCAACCCACTATGCAAGTCGACTAATCCCAGAACAACCACTTATTTTGTAGGTAGCTTGGAATCACCATATTTGAACCTCAATAACCACAAAAGATTTTTATTCCTCCTTATATTTAAACTTGAAACTTTCAAATATTTTTAACTTTTGAAGACCGAACTCAAATCAATTAAATATCACTTTTATATTTTCATTTAAACTTGACTTGTATGGTTTTGGTCAACTTATAAAATCACCATGATTATCTTGTTTGAATGGGGTCCCCTGATTCACCTTTCACGTGCTATTTAACAACGGAAATTCAAAACAATTAACACGTGGTCAAATTTAATTAATAATAATATAATATAATTGTAATTATTATTAATTAATATGCTTTTTGGACTCTCAATTTTTAAGGGAAAAAAGCTATTTCATAAAAATAGAAAATATTTTTTTTATTACATGTATAATTATAAAAATGTCTCTTTTAATTTTAGTTTTTACGTTGAAATAAAAAATATACGTAAAAAAATTCACATTGTAAACTGAATACATATTAAACAAACACGTTGTAAAATAAATAAATATTAAACAATATGTTAAATCATAGTTTTTTTTTTATCAAAAATAATAATATAAAAATATATTTTTATATCGACTCTTTATGGTTTTTAACATTTTTATGGTTTTTATTTAAGAGTAAAATGCGAGAAATAGCAACGTACTTTTACAAAAAAAAAAATATTATAGCATTGTACTTTCGGTTTTTTTTATTACAACAATATATTTTCAAAAATTTATCCGTTATATAATTTAGTAACCTTTTAAATGAAATTCACTCATTATACCAGGTTTTTTCGTCACTCATCGTCCATATAGGTTGTCTACATGTACGATAGTGCTGACATGACATTTCTTATTATAACATTATACTTTCAAAATTACTTTATTATAACATCATCAAATTCTATTACAGTATTGTACTTTTATTTTTTTAATATTTTTATCATTTATACATGTAAATTTAATCAAATATGTTTACTAAAAATTATAACATCATAAATAAAACATGTTGATATATAATCATTATTTTACGAATAAAATTGTTCATAACAAACCATTATGATATTTAGAAGAACCAATCCTGGATCTAAAGTAAAAATGAGTGTTGGAGTCAACCCCAATGGGAAGACTTACTTTTAAGACTTCTATATATGTTGAAAAAAATGGAGAAGGTAGTAGTTGTGACAAAGCGTTTTTATTTGATTAAATATCATTGTTAACCAAATGTGAATAAGATGAGTTTTTTTTTTGAAAAATGTTCCACTTGTTTAGTTTTTGGCATTACAAAGTAAGTCATGAAATTTACGATGAACTCGATTAACAAATGATTTTTATGAACAATTTTATTCGTGAAATAGTGATATTTCGTAAACACGTTTAATTTATGATATTATAGTTTTTAGTAAACATATTTGATTAAATATACAATGTTCAAATGATAAAATAAAATAAAATAAAATTAAAAGTACAATACTGTAATAGAAATTAATTATGTTTAATAAAGTAGTTTTAAAAATACAATGATATAATAAGAAATGCAATCTCAACACTATCGTACATACATACAGCCAACATGAACAAATGAGGTGGCAAATAAACCTAGTATAACGGGTAAATTTGATTTAAAAAGCTTACCCAATATTATAACGGGTAAATTTTTGAAAGTACAATGCCCTAATAAAAAAAAATTAAAAATATATTGATGTAATAATAAAAACTGAAAATACAATACTATAATAAAAAAATTTATAAAATAGGTTATAATTTTACATAATATATATATATATATATATATATATATATACTAATTGTGTACTCATGCAATGCGGCGGGAGCCATGAATTTTAACGATTTTGAAGTTCCACTGATTTTATAAGATAAGATTTAACGATAATATAAGTTACACTTGGTCTTTACATATTAATACAATTTGAATAAATAAGAGTTATGGTTCTAATTACAGACTATCGATGAAAAAAAAAATTATGACAATTTAAAATCCAATATATTTAAAATCCAACATATTTAAACAACTCCACAAATGTGTTCGATTTACACCAAGAGCAAAGAACCAAGAAACTTGAGTTTTAAGATAAACACTCAAAACCAATAAAAAAAACTACAAATTTGACAGATCATAAGCCATGAAAAGACAAAAAAAATGGGTTTTAAAATGAAATTTCAACCGCTTACCCTCTTTCTTGTCCAGAAACTCAGATTAAGGTTGAATTAATACATGTATATATATATTTCAAAAAAAACCCAAAAACATATTAATTCAGAACATATTATACAGTGCAATTTGGACAGCCTAACCCCAAAATATATAGTATATATATAAATAAATAACTATAAAAGTATAAATCGTAAATATTAAAAATATTTTTAAACAGTATATATAATATATAATAATATAATTAAGTGAAAAACTATTCAATATTTGACTCATTTCGAATGTATTAACGAAACGATTATAATGATGTAACTTGTTAAAATAAAAATGTATTTTTTTTTAAACATGTTTTAATTGATATACGATTATGTATGTTAATTTGATAAATGTTTAAAATGAAACATTTAAAAGTAAATGACATAAAGTAAATTAATTAATTAATTATACGGGTATAAAATGTAAATTTAAAATTATAATTTTAAAAAAAAATCGGTTGTGAAAGAATGAATGTATGTGAGGGGGTGAGTGTATGTGATGAGAGAAATGAGTGAAAAAATGACCTAAGGATAATATAAAGGGTATTTTGGTTATTTAATATTTTAAAATTTTTGTTAATTTTGTTTAATAAAATATTATAGATAAGGAAGAATAATTATGAGCACTATGCAACATTGGTTTTGGTTTTTTGGGTTCTTTTTTGTATTTTAATGAAGCTTCCTGAGATGGTCAATCAAGTCATGTTCTTCAAATGTGCTCCCAACCGCGTATACGCTATCACGTTTTATTTAACCCCCAAAAATATCATATTCACCCCCTTATCTATCATCTAACTCCATTTCACCCCCTTATATACACAACAGTTTCAAAATATCGTCATTTCAAAGACAAAAAATGCAATCATGATGACCATGGGACCGTATTTTAAGCTATAAATTTTCAAATTTAATCCTTTTCACCCGTTAGGTTAAATGTACTGTTATTTTTTAAAGTGTACTGTTATAGCTTTATATAATATTCTAATTTTATAATAGCTTTTTAAGATGCTTCACCAACTAATGAATAGTCTAAGTCCAAGTCAACTAATGGACCGTCACGTACCTGATTTACCGCTCACATGATACTTTTAGAACAAATCAGTGTAGACTAACTCGGGGGTTACCACTTAAAAAACCCTTTTCCACAAAGTTAAAAAGTTCTTGAACCAAAATACAAAATAACATATATATATATATATATATATATAACACATATATCTATATTATATTATAAAACATTTGACAAAAACTCTTAAAAACCATTTTTTATGTATGAAGTACTGTTTATTAACCTATATTACTTAAAATTCAAGATTACAAGTAGATTGTGTGTAATTACAACTTATTAAAGCTTTATATTTGAATTCGTGTAACTAATTGCAAATAAACATAATTAAATACATGATAAACATCTCATTTTAATTATAAAAAATCTAAAATATAATTAGGATAATCATTGAGTTCAAATAGAATACTTAGTTATTATCTTTATAAAAAAATTATATTATTATAAAGATAAGAATAAAACGAAATATTAACATCAATATGTATCTCGTTGCATTGTGTGCGTAACTTTCTGGTATACATCAAGGACTGGAAATGTAGTTAAGTGATTCTTTTGGGTTGAAATTGTAATTTTCTCACTACAAACAACCTTCTACTCCCCTGCTCAGAAAAAAGTCCACGTCGATGAATCTTCCTCCCATGTCCCTCACCGCGTTCATACGCTGTCGTTTTCTTCTCTATCTTGACACGCTTATTTACGCTATCACTTTATCCTTTCAGGTATATGTATATATGTATGTATCTATCTTCAACTCCTTCACTTCCATCATCACTTGTTCACATCTCTTTTCTTAACATCTCTGCTTCCATTTTCACATTTCCAGCTTCAAATTCATCATTTCACACCCAATTCAGATTCTTATATATATATTAATCGATGGAAATCAGTTCAATTCCATTTCTGAATCAAGAAGAATACTCGTATTTCTACAGCTTCTTTCAAGAGTTTGACACCAATAACACCGCCATAGATGACATTCAAACCAATAAACGCCGGAAAATCAATGAAACAACAACCGGCGACAGCAGTTCGTTGAAGGAAATTCTCGATACCATCTCGTTTATGGACGAGCAAGAGATCCCTGATTTCGATTTTCAAATGCCTAATTTGGATTTTGGTTCGGAAATGGCGGAACCGGAAAGGGGGAGAATCAGGAAAACACCACCGCCGAAATTTGATGCGACGGTGACGGAAGAATGGAGTTCTAGCCAAGGTGGCGGCGGCGGCGGCGGCGGAGGAGGGCCGCAGCGGAGGTTATGGGTGAAGGAAAGGTCGAAAGGATGGTGGGATTATTACAATAGTGATGAATGTCCAGATGAAGAGTTCAAAAAAGCTTTCAGAATGAGTAAATCGACGTTTAATATGATCTGTGACGAATTGGACGCCGCCGTGACTAAAAAAGACACCATGCTCCGAATGGCGATTCCGGTACGACAGCGAGTTGCCGTCTGTCTCTACCGTTTAGCCACCGGCGATCCGTTACGAACAGTTTCATCTCGGTTCGGGCTCGGAATCTCGACATGCCATAAACTCGTCCTTGAAGTTTGTGCTGCAATTCGAAATGTTTTAATGCCTAAATTCCTCCAATGGCCGGACGATGAACGCTTAGAAGAAATCCAAACCGAATTCCAATCAATCTCCGGCATCTCAAACATTTCCGGTTCAATCTACACCACTCACATCTCCATAATCGCTCCCAAAGTCACACCGGCGGCATATTTCAACAAAAAACACACCGAACGCAACCAAAAACCGTCGTATTCCACCACCGTTCAAGGTGTCGTCGATTCACGCGGCGTTTTCACTGATATCTGCATCGGATACCCTGGATCAATGTCCGACGACAAAATCCTCGAGAAATCAGCGATTTCGCAACGATTCAACATTGGTTATTTGAAGAACATATGGATCGTCGGAAATTCAGGTTATCCGTTACTCGATTGGCTTCTGGTTCCATATACACACCAGCATCACACATGGAGTCAGCATTCATTCAACGAGAAGATCGGAGACGTTCAGAAGACGGCGAAAGATGCATTCATGAGGTTAAAAGGACGTTGGACGTGTTTACAGAAACGGACGGAGGTGAAGCTTCAGGATTTGCCGGTGGTCCTGGGGGCGTGTTGTGTTTTGCATAACATTTGTGAGATGAACGGAGAAGCCATGGATCCCGATCTGAGTTTTGATCTGTTTGACGATGAGATTGTGGTGGCGGAGAACGGTGGCGGGAAATCGGGAAATGCAGTTCAGACGAGAGATACGATTGCTCATAATCTATTGCATTGTAGCAACGGAGGAAGTGGTTTTAGATGATTATATGATTTTCTTTTTCTTTTTGGAATAAACGGTTTTTTTCGTAAGAAAAAAATAATTACGAAAAATGAATGTAATTTTGAATACAAATTATTATTTGTTATAAATTTTGGTTTTATATATAAATATTTTGTTTATGATATTGTTATTTGTGTTGTAGGATAAATGTGTCACTGTTTTAAATGATACGACAATGGAGATAAATATAGATATATCAGAGTTAGATTATAACTGAAAATAATGTCTCGTAGTTATCTACTTGTAACTTAGGGGTTGTTTACTTGCGGCTTAATTAAGTTTATTGGTCTATCTGACTTATTCGCACAACTCATTTGGGTTGTTAACTTACGGCTTATTCGCACAAAACATGACTTAATCGTACAGATAGAAATTGTGTGTTGTCTTCATTCATCCACAAAAATAACACCCCTACCCCTCATTTAAACCACCGTCTCCTTCCCATATGAGACACCCATCGTCGGCCTCTTTATGATTTTTTGTTTTGATGTTCAAATAATTAATATTGGGGGGTAAATCGGTCATTTATGTTATTCAGACTGTTGGTTCATATTAAAAAAAGTAAACAACAACACTTATTTATCCAGACAGACAAATTTATCCGGACATGACTTCATAAAAATTTTGGTAAACAACCCCTTATCATTATATAAAGGGTTTATGATTAATGAGAATAACAAATTCATTCTCTTAATTCTATTGTTGTTCTATTTCGTTTATACTATAACACGTTATCAGCATGCTGCTTGTAACCTACGTCGTCGTCGTTCTATCATGCTATGCCATCAAGAGTATTATACGCTGATATTTTTTAAAATATTTTTAATTGATAAGTTAAATGTTAAAGAAAATTATAACTACATAATATAATTTGAAATCTAGGTTAATTTAGGGTATGTTTCAGATTTCAGACTTCAGCACCACCTCTTATAAATCAGACTTTAGTAGCTCTAAAAAAAACAAACGCCACCTAAACCGTCGAGAATAAGAGCCTCTAGCCTCTAGTCCATATAATCAAAATTTTATACCTCTTTTCATGTAGCTTCTAACTCTGGGCGAGTTATAACTGTTCTTAAATCTTATCTCTTAACGGTTGCAAGTGTCACACAGTCACATCTAACCGCTTTAACCAACCGTAACCGTCGATCACTCGTATAAATACCTAAACGAGAATCTGGGTGTACATAAAGACTCGATCTTACAACATTTAAAATTAAAAGTTTTCAACTGGACTATCCAACGCAAAATTCGTGATACCCAAAACAATACGAGTCGAATCATTACATTCACAAGACGTATTTTCTACGACCCAATTGAGCATTCATTCCACTGGTCATCTCCGATTCCCGTTACATAATATACACACACGTGTCAAAAGAAGAAATATTATTATATTATAAGATAAATCAGATATATTCTTAACTTAACGTTTATAATAATAAAATTTATATATATATAATAAATGTTATATTCCTTTCCATCCTTCTCGAACCATATATTACTATTTTTCTATCAGCAAAAAGGATTATTTGACCCCCCACCCCCCACATAACCGATGCTTTTGTTATTCACGTGTGAATAAAACCACAAGTGGTTGGTCAAAAATTGACCAATAATTCAAGGAAATTCGTTGAAGTTACTTTCCAGGAACGCCAATTTCTGCTGACGTCATTCAATGGATTACGATGACGTGCCATGTGAAGTGTGCTTTCGACGTCACCAATTAAAAAAGCTTTTTAATTTAATTATTATTTTACCTTTTTTTTATTGTTTTTTTATTATGTGGTGTCGCCACGTTTTAATTTCGAGCTATATAATGTTGCTATCAAATTTATTCGGTATTTATTATTATTATTTTTTAATTGATAAAATCATTTAACCTTATTTTATGGATTGTTTGATAATTGTTGAATGATTTGGTATAAAATGATTAAGTGGTCAGAATCTCTTATGATATAATGCAAAATAAAATATAATTGTTTGGTAATTTTCACAACTAAATTAGGGCGCTGAATGATTAAGGAAGACTCAAGATACAAAATCATTCAACGGGTTTTAGAACGATTAAGAGACGGTTTTTTTGTCAAACAAGATTTAGCTCTTAATGATTCATAGACTGCCTCATAGATTCACCTGTTATGTTTTTGTTTATTCTATAATTTGAAAAAGTAATGTTATATTGGTTTGGATTAATATGAAATTTTTTGTTTTGAACTAGCAATGCTATGTTTGTTTGGATTAATATGAAATACGCAGTTATATTTGTAAAGTAATTATTTTATTTAGATAATTGTCAAACAACTATATTTCATTCAATATTAAATCATACAGAGGGTTAAAATGATAATTTGTTGTCATTCAGAGAACAATTACCAAACAACCTTGTTTCATTCAGCCCTTAACCATTATGACCACTTAACTATTCTGTACTAAATCATTCAGCAACTGCCAAAAAATCCCTTAATGAAACTATCAAGAAGTAAACAAACAACCCATTAGACTATATTCCATGAAAGTTTTTATAATAGTTTAATTTTTGTATTTTTTTTTCATTTCAATTACAACTCAACAAATTAAATAGTTATATAAATTTTACAAATTATATTTGGTACATTGGATATGTCACAAAAAATATATCAAGAATTATTGTTCAATGTTTGACAGAACTTTTATGTGGAGACAAACAAGAATAAAGTAGAACAAAATTATATTTTACCAATATAATGTCAAAATAAAACTTAATTCTCTTCTAAAATATCATAGTTATTATATCTTTATACATATTAATAATTATAAAGTCAAGAAAAAGATATAAAAAAAGGTCAAATTATGCAGTGTGAATGTAAAAAAGTAAGTTTTGATGTTGCTGTTTTTGAGAGAAAAAAATAATAAGTAGGGATGCATTTAATAATATATAGAAATACAGTTAGCTCATTTCTTTTTATAATTTGTTTATTGTAATTTTTTTGTGATGTATTATTGTACATTTAAATGAAATATTTCTATCAAAAAAATTTTCTCATTATCTGTCTGTAAAGTTACCATTTGTCATATTTTTGAATTTAAGGGACCGTTTACTAAACTTATCCAGTAAGTGTTTACCGGGTAATTTTCTTTACCGAATGAACATGGTAAGGGTTTAGAATCTTACCCGGTTAGAACGGTAAAATGATGGAGAGTCTTATCCGGCACGAGTGGTGAAAGGATGGAAAGTCTTGCCTAATAAGTGAGAGTGAAGACTCTTACCCGGGTAAATTGTTAATCTTACCCAAAAAAATATATTATAGTGTTGACTCGTATCGATAAATGCTTACCGGGTAAGCATTTGAGTAAACGGCCCCTAAATCATTCATTGTGTATGACAACCCAAAAAAATGTATATCAACTTGTTTATATATAACGGGCTAATTACAAATGATGATGCCACTACAATTACTATCATTAAACACATCAACCAACTTCAGAACGGGTCATCAATAGTGTAGCTTCTGGTCATCACCTCTTTTGAAGGATATTTAGGGGCTGTTTGGCAGTTGCTGAATGATTTAGTGCATAATAGTTAAGAGGTCATAATAGTTAAGAGGGTCAGAATGGTTAAGTGCTGAATGAAATAAGGTTGTTTGGTAACTGTTTTCTGAATGACAATAAATTACCATTTTAACCATCATCTAAAAAAACCCATTATTCCATTTTAACCTTCATCGATGCCTCTTTGCCCTCATCGATGGCTTCAATCTGTAGGGTGGGGTGGGGTTGTGAAGACCGGCGACGAGTGAGGGTGGGGGAGGGGCTGTGAAGACCGGCGACGAGTGAGGGTGAGGGTGGGGTTGTGAAGACCGGCGACGAGTGAGGGTGGGGGAGGGGCTGTGAAGACCGGCGACGTGTGAGGTGGGGGAGGGGCTGTGAAGACCGGCGACGTGTGAGGTGGGGGAGGGGCTGTGAAGACCGGCGACGTGTGAGGTGGGGGAGGACAAAATTGGAAAAAGAAGACTCTGAATAATTGAGTGAAGCCTCATATGCAAAATGGTTAAGAGGGATTGTGTAACCATTAAGAGCCTCTTTTTTTTTTTTTGCCAAACACTCTTAACCTCTTACCGATTAAGAGGTTGGCTCTTAATGTAACCATTAAGAGCCAAACAAACAGCCCCTTAATAAATATAGAGAGAGAGACTTGGAATCATGTGAGACTAAAGGTTTTTTTATGAGATCCGTAATACCAATTCTCAACCCTTAGATTATATCTACAGTCTGAACATTCATAATCACAAAATTGCCACTAGACTTATTAATAATCACAAAATTGCCATAGACTTATTAATAATCACAAAATTGCCACCGTGCAACTTTAGACCATTAGATCAGTAGCTTATAAAGTTGATCAATAAACATAAATTGGTCTTACGAGTCTCACGAAAAACCTTAGGTCTCACGTGAACCCAACCCTATATATATATATATATATATATATATATACTAGGTTCGACCCCGTGTATTACACGAGATATTTCAAATGTGAAAAACTCTGGACATTAACTCTGGAACACAAGAATTCATAATTCTATTGTTAGGCTGAAAAATAACTCTGGACTTAACTTTGAATAAGAGGAACCCAGAGTTGTCTTCTAAGTTTAGAAAGTATCAATGAGCATAACTCTGAGTCACAAGAATTATGACTTCTTATAACTCAGAAACGTAACTCTGAAGAGGAGTTCAAAACTGTATTTTAAGTCTGAGAATAAACTATATAACTAAGTTTGGAACATAACAATTCAGAGTTATGTTGTAATTATGAGAAATAACCAATATCTGATGACTTCATGTTGATGATTTGTATCACTAATGTCATTTAAGTGTAATGGGATTAAATTGATAACCAATGTAATCATGATAAATATCGAACATGTAAGAAAGATACGGAGTGCACACTTGTTTGAGTTTATTTTGATTTAGGGGCGAAGCCCCTAAACGACGGGGGTCCGGTGGCAGCGCCCCCGATGGCGGGGTCCAAGGCGCAGAGCCCCTGGCTGGGGTCGAGCTGATTTTGAGACATTTATTTAAGATTTTACTTTTACCATATTTGTGATTTTGATATGATTTAATTTATTATTTAGAATATTTTTTTTCTATTTAGTGCATTTAGAATAAGAGTATTTAATTTTCATTTATATAATTTAATTTTCTTATTTAAGACAATATTTAAAAAAACTATAAAAAAATAATGAAAACAAAATCTAATGTGATGTGTAACGTAACACATTTAATATGTATAAGATCATATAAAACCTTTAAAACGTAATTCATAATTTATAAAATATTATATGTAATATTGTAGATAACTTACATTTCTCTTTCACTTAAATTAATATCACATAAATTATTTTGACGAAAAGTAATGATTCTTTTTTTGGAAAAAAATGTCGATTAAATGAGAATATCTTTTTGACAAAAAGGGTAAAAAAACATAAATAAACTATTTCAATAAAAATAAACATTTTAAATAAAAAAAAAACTCAAAATCACTTATTTTAAACCTCGTAAAAAAATCATGAAAAATTAATCATGTTTAAATAATGAAAATTAAAAAAA